TGTAACGAAATTTTTTTCAATAACACTTAATTTTCGAAAGGCTTGAAGATTCTTAATCTATCAACCCTAAATAAGGTTAAAGAAGATGGTGGATCGAAACTAATAATATTATTGAAAAGGTCATCTGATGAATATATTTATGTTATTCATTACTAGCGATACCCTATAACGATCGCCGGTGATTTTACTCGGCGGCTAACCGGAAATTTGAGCAATATTTCAAATGCAGTAAGTTAAAAAAACAAAGAGGAAAAACAAAGGGAATAAAAAAGTTTTAAATCTTAGAAATAAAGAAGTTAAAGTCAATACCTAGCCGGAAGATTCAAGCAGACAAACAATATTAACATAATGCGTAGACCCGTTTAATTTATAAATAAATAAAATTTTTCGAATTTCCAGGATAAGAGAAAAAAGAATATGCTACCCACTATATTAATACTTATTTCTTTTAATAAATGGAATTGCAACATGGTGATTGCTAGATTATTAGATATATGAATTACCTAGAAAAGGCAATGTTACTCCGCAAGCTTTCTCAGGATTAGGCTTAGCAAATTAGCAAATTAGTAACCGGTAATTGAAGTATTCTCTTATATAGCTTTACCAAATTATATTTTAAAAACACTTCTCCCCAGATTGATTATATTAGTTAACTTTATTGCCAGATGCAACTTAAAATTAATAACATTTTATCTATACTTACTTCCATTGTTACCAAAATATTAACATCTATATAGCAACTAATTTTATAAGCATATTGATTCATCTCAATTTTGTTTCTTCTGTCAGTTTTCAATTCGTAAAATAATCAAGAACATATTGCTAGTAAATGAGAGCAATAGGGTTAATAAACCCGCTCACATAAATGTTTCGGAAAACCTTTTGAATATTCTTATCGCTAATTAATTATTGCTTTGACATAATATGAGTCTTAGGATGCTGTAATTGAAATTGAACTACAGTATTGACACCAATAAAATTTAGGTTCATTTCCGGCTGATAAACAGTAGGTAGAGTTTTAATGCGACCGAATAATCATCAACTCTATATACAAAAACATTGACCAGGGATAAACTAATTTTATTACCATACCAACCTTACTTACAATCTTACCATGTAAACATCAATTACCATTCCCTAAAAAATAGATATTAGATAAACAGAGCTAAAAGATAAATAGAAACGCAGCTAAAAATTGTTATCAATAAATTCTAAATATGCAAATGAACAATAAACTACAATTAAAATGCTGAATCTCTCCAATTTAATTTTACTAGACAATCATACTACAAATGCTAAAATGAGCAAATCTTGAGTATTAAATATATGTATGTCTTTATCATGGCCACGATTTAGTTGTATTTTCTACGGGCTGATATCACTTTTTCGTCACTTTTTATTACGAAATTGTAATTCCATTCCATAGCTTGGGAGTATCGTTTAACCGTATTTTTAATTTCTCAGCTGGTAAATTAATTAAATTTATTGAAAATTCTAAATATAGATTCATTATCTGCCCGTAAAAAAATTGCGCAGCTATTTTTACTCCATTATCTTGTCATATATATGCTATTATATATTACATGTTATCACATTAACTATTAAATTTAATTTTTGCATTGATACCTTAATATAAATTTTAATCCCTTTAATTGAAACAACTAAAGATATTAGCAACTGCATATAGTTTCAGTTTATATTAATACAATTTTCTTTATCCTTATGTAAATAGTTTTATCGCTAATATAATTTAATCGTTGGCTGATACAATAGTAATTATGTATTGGATTTATTTGATCGGCAGTTGCTACTATAAAATTAACACTGTACGTTATAATTCAATATTAATATTTAATTAACTAAACTACCGTAATAGCACTCTCATTATTCTTACTATTAAATTTTGTATACAGTGAATTATGCGTATTTTCCTGAGTTGCAAAAATTTCCCAAAATAAATGGATCTATATTTTATTAACGTGTTATAAAGGAGCAAGTTAAAAAATGTATGATATACCGTATCCAGTAATTACTAATAATATAATTGTAATTAATTATAATTTGACGCTATTTTTAACCTTTATTCTAATAGGGAATAAACTAAATATAGCTGACCTCTATCTTCCAACACTACAGGAAATTATAAAAATGACCCAACATCGTTCCCATTTTCACATTTTTCAATTACTTAGGTTAACGCACAAGTCGCATAATTTCACTGTCAAGTAAGACCATCAGTCTTGTACTACCATCTTCCTGAATTGCTGAATTCTAAGCATGGCAAAATCGACATTTTGTGGTAATATAGGAATATATTGATAGCCTAAGTTATGATCATAAATTACATAGTAATTGATCGTTCTCTTTGCGTACACATCATTCAACTGGTGTATATTTAAAAATTTGACTGCAATTATCTGTAAAGGGTTAATCTAATATAATCAATTTTGATAAAATTACCCAATTGCTTCACTATAATTGCATATA